GGGGGGGTTATAACCCCCCCCATCCCCCGTGTAAATTACGCCGGTGGGAACATGTGTCTCTCAATCCCTTGTATTAAAATGCCAGTTGAGGCACATAAAGTCCATCTTTCTGTGACCTGTTTAAAGTATTTTTGTTTAGTTGCTTTATGCCACATCATGTGTTGATAGCAAACATTACAGTACACTATTCCTGTACAGTTTGCACATGTTGTRCTAAAGCAGCAGAAGAAGCTACAAAACCAACAAAAATAATAATAGCTGATCTGTAGTAATTTCATGTTTATGCACTGATGACTTTAATGATACAAATTCATTCACAACAAGCAGGGGCTGCAGCAGTGTGGGGGTCTCTGATCCTGAGACTGCAGGTTTGAACTCAGATTGCTAAAATATCAACCTTCATACTGAAAAACATGTTTTATTTAGATATGATCAAAAACTAAAACAACCCATTGTTTGTATGTGTGGTAAAACTGCACATGTTCCTGGTGTTAAACAGGTTCTCCATGTGAGCCTTTGATCTGTGTTGAAACTGGAGCATGTGAAGCGTCSAACACTCACTCTGCTGCAGGGACACTGTCCTCTAAAGGGCTGCTGGGCCAGTCGGGAGGTGMGAGGTTCTCACAGTCGGTCAGCCCAGCAGGAAAGTCCTCGCTGCTCTTCAGGGACCAAGGCGTTTCTTGATGGACGTCTGTCTCACTGTCTTTGTGAGAGACCACTTCCTGCTGGTGGGTGGCCTCCACCTTCAGCTGCTCCTCCAGGTCTGCATGAAGGCAGAAGCATGACTCAAGCACATGTGGATAAACTGGGAGGGTATAGACGCAGACATATCCTACCATCGTAAACCTCCAGTATGGCAGCGCAGGAGATGGTGCCGAAGGAGTTGAGGACGACACATTTGAACAGGCCTGAGTCTTCAGGGAAGGCCTCAGTGATGACCAGGGTACACAGCTCCTCTGCACAGACAAACAACACTACTATCACACAAACACACCACAGGTGACAGGAGTCCGTCAGTTAACCTTTAACTTTAGAGACATCCACCCAGGAAAGAGATTTTCTCTGTTTGTTTTTCCTCTCAGTCTGTTTGGGACTCACCTGGCACTGAGGCAGAACTGGTCTCTGAAAAAACAACAGAAAGGACAAAGAGTGAACAAAAAGTTTAAGCATTTAAAATAAAAGCATTCAGATCTGAATTAAATTACAATAAAACGATAATGAGTTTCATAAAGGTCAGGTATGAGTGAAGAAAGAAGTACAGCTAAGACATTTGTTTAAAAAACACTAATATGCAGACACACCTATACTCTACAAAATATTTTAGATTTAGCCAAAGAATAAATAKATAATTTTTTCTGCTTCTCCTTTCTTTGGGGTCGCTATAGTGAACAAACTTACATAAAATCTGCAAGTTGCACACAGCCTTGGGTTTATAAGGCAGAACTGACCATCATATGAAGATAAAATGGTGGTTCAGGTTTGATTTGATTTGATTTATTTATTTAACAGGAAAAGGTTATTAAAAATCAAGCCTGACTCAGCATAATTGCTGTTTTACAGCAGGTTCCTGTTCTGCGGCACATAAAACACTCAGAATTACAGCATCACAATCACAT